AAAGGTACGAGAGAAAACCAAAATTTCCTTATGATCAGACGTCCACCTGCATGTCTAATATTCATCGAGCCAAAAAGTTACATTGCGGGCGTCCCTAGCATTAATGGCAGGAAAACAAAACTTGTCACCGAGAAAGACGAAATTCGTTGCTCTCTGTGTGATACGTTCATTATATGAAAATGAATGCTACAGGCGCCCACGATGTAATCTTTTTGCTTTGATGAATATTAGGCATGCCAGGCGGACGGCTGCTCATAAACCATTTCTTTTTCTCGTACCTTTTGATCCATGTAACGTCATGTTTTCAAACTTTCACATTTTGCAACCGCCGACAGCGTCACGTTCTCGCAAAGTTTCAGTTTTCTGCGACGCGTAACTTATTCTTCCGGGCCAAAAATCCTCTTTCCGTATACTCGCTCGACCCCTGTAGATGTTTCGCGCACCTCAAATGTGATCTGGATCCCCGTTTTGTATATTTTTCTCTGTTTTTCTTTTATTTTTTTTATTTTGGTGCGCTTTTTGGATCGGGCCGTTCACGAGGAAGCCGTGGCACGCCTCTCTGTTGTTATCCGTTTCGGTGTGTGTGTCTCGTTCACCCAGTTCACCCGAAGTTATATGGAGCCGGACTTGCCGCGACGTTAGAAACGGCGGCCCTTCAGTTGCATCTAGAGCTGGATGCTGCATCACATTCTGTCTGCACTGCCGTTGCCACGATAGTGAGAGGATGGGGCGACTGGTTGCCCTTACATTTTGTTGGTTCCTTCGTCCCAGGCTACTAAATCTCGGCCAAGGAGCGAACGACATTAATCTCTTAGAGCTGCGCGTATACAGAGAGGAAATACCGGTAGGCCATTCATTTGCCGAATTTATGTCCACAAACGGTGCACACGTGTATTGCTCTAGAGCCCTGTTTCGGCATTTCCTTATAGCGCCTAACTACAGAGTACATCGCACCGCGCGAACGCGTGCTAAAGGCTTCCCGCGCACCGCAACCGGTTGTACTAGGACCCCAGTTCGTGAACTGCCGTGGCGAGATTAGTAGCACCCGCGAAAAAAGACGGCATCGACTCCACTGCTCTCGCATGCGCTTACGAAGATGGAGGATCGGGTGAAAGGGTGCAGAGGGCGGCACACGCGGAAAGGGAGCCTCGCTTCGCTTTCCGATAAATAGAGCGGTTCGGGTATACGATTACAGCTTTTTCTTTTTTTTTTTTTGGTTGCGTTTTGGTTTTTTAAGGTTTCGGTTTTAACATTTCGGTTACTAATTAGCCGCCCCTTAAAAAATACAACAAACGAAGACGTTTTTTTGTTCTCTTTTTGGTTTGTTCTCTTTTATCAAGTAAATAATAAAAACACCCTGCATACGACTAGTTTCTTTTTTTTTTTTTTGTTAACGTTTGACAACAGCTTTTTAACAAACGGTTCGAAGAAATTCCTTGTATTCTGCAACGGGTCAGCGAGGCGAAAGTAATAGGAGTCATAAAACTATGTGTGTGTTTGTGTGTGTATGAAAATGTAGTCAGCGTGATGCTTGTTAATACCATTAATAAAGGCGACATGTCTCTACGCTGTAGATGAGAAATTTAGACAATGCACAACGGCTAGCCTGGGATCTTCAGGTGCCTCACGCAGTAGTCCTGCACACACGCCGGCACGATGCTCATCCAGATCGAAACGATCCACGCCGATAAGCATTTCGAAACTTCTCTACAACTTATAGATTGGTCAGAAGATTCATTACTTTGCGGCTCTTGTTCACATCATTTATTTCCATTACATATTTTTGTTCAACATGCTTACATGCTACTGAGGATACGGTCACACTGCTTATATATATCATTCGAAAGACATACTTCAGTTCGGCATCTCAATACGCATGTTTTCCCCAAACAACCAACTCAGTCAAGTTTTTTTCTTTAAACGCTTTTAAAATAACCTTTCCAGACGCTTGTCTTTCCACCGGGGTCACAATTAAGATATTTTATTCGCGAGCAGTCTATGCGTGTCGCATGCCTAAAATAAATATCTTAAACGTGTAACCGACCTGATGCTTTCATTACATGTAGTTTACAATAACCTTCATTCGCAGGAGATAATACCGCAAAAAAAAAAAAAAATTAATTACATTTTAAGATATGGGAATCAGCCATTTAAACTCAGTCAATCGAAATGCACCACTGTCACCTGGCCGACCGGGCGACCGCATTCGCTTATGAATACCGTCATTCGATATGAAATATCGTGGACGTTGTTTCACTCGCTAAAGCGTCGTTCACTCAAGTGAGTGTCTCCCCACCAAAACATCCGAGCTTTCCACATGATCGTGTATTTTCTTTCAATAAAATATTTCGTCACTGGGGTGGTTGTGATTGGGATGATTTCGTGATTGGGATGATACCACGGAAGAGTTGAACAACCGAGAGCCACTAAGCTTTTTACACAACAGAAACGAACTCCGACGCCCGGCTAGCCGTGTTGTTAGCTCTCTGTTGTTGACATCATCGGTGTTAATGGCATCTATTGGCTCCCAAAAGTCACGTGTCGGGAGAAGCTTTTCTTGTTTTGTAGAAATCGTCGCGGCCACAGATACCTTTGACCACAGCAGAGCTGTCACCGTACGCCTTAGCTCGGCAAACGTTCTACGTGTTTCTATGAAATCCAACAAGATCGAGCCTCGATGTGAAAAAGGTGACGGCGCTCCACGCAAGTTTTTGATCACGTGGTGCGCTGTCACCTGCTCTCTCCGGCTCTCTTATTGGCCCACTAGCCTTGTAGAATCCAACGTTTGCAGGTTAAGCGGAAATGGAGCGGTAGCGAAGGAAACATGCCGCCGGCGCCTCCGTCCACAGCGGCGCCGACCCAGCCGTTTCGTCGTCTGGAACAGCGACTCGCCTCCAGCTCCGGTGGCAATCTGTTCATCGAACGGCGTTTCATCGACAGATCGTTTCATCGACACGCGATGTTTCATCGAGAGATCGTTTCATCGACACGCGATGTGTCATCGATAGATTGTTTCATCGACGGCTCAGATTAGCTTTTTCCTTTAGTAAGCTGCGTCAGACTGTCGCCGCGAAGCGGCGTGAACGGGTGGGTCAGGTGGGTTAGTATTTTTGCAATCAACCGCCGCAGACTGTCACCGCGGAGCGGCGTAAAGGAGGGGGGGGGGGGGGGGGGGAATGGGTGAACACGCACCTCAGTGATATGCGCGCGACGAAATGTCCCTACAGTGAGCAATTCGCGTAATGAGTGTCGATGCAGCGTCAGTCTCGACGAAAGGTGTGTCCGTGAAAAGTTGTCCACGAAACAGAATTCCACGAAACGAGTTTCTATCAAAATGATGGCGACCCCGCTAGCTCCGCCCGCCCACGTTTTCGTTTTCTCTGTCCCGCTCCTTTCTCCGGCTGCTTTCGCGAAGGAAGCAAGCAAAGTGGAGACGATGTGCGGCCTGCAAATTCCGATGGCATTTCAAAATAATCGGTCATGTTCCGCTGTATTATTGTTGAAAAAGAAAATGCTGAACCGATATTATATATCGGTTACCGGTTAAGACATTACGGTTACAGTGAACATCGGATTAACATATCAGTTTCGTTCCGGTTCCGGTTACCGAACAAATTTCTATCCTAAACGGTGTTCGGTTCGGGTTACGGTTACGGTTTCATGAAGTCCGTGCGTGAAAAGCGGACAAAATTGTCCCAGTTAAGAAAGGGGTCAACACAACAATCTCAAAGCTTTTAGGCTTCCCCTCTCGCGACATTCAAATCGAGGTGGTAATCTTTATATATATATATATATATATATATATATATATATATATATATATATATATATATATATATATATATATATATATATTTCTTCCAGGCCACGTTCCACCCCGCTGACTCTTGGCGAAACCTCGGCGACCAAAGTACCGAAAGGAAAATGGCTTTCAACCTTCGATGGCGTGTGACGGCCGACACAGATGAACGATTCGCCGATTCGGCCCGACATAGGATTAGGCGAATGGCGTCTCGGTACTGCGCGTCAGATGTCTAATCTTTTTTGCATTAGGTATCACACATAGTATAACCTGCCGTCTTGAGGGGACCTTTCCTGTATCTTTTCGGCATCACGTCTTGAGAGACGAAGTCCGTGACATGGCTGTGGAGAATCTTCTGACGTTACTTGAGAGTTTGCTTATAGTTCGGTTCACTTTTGAGACAATACTCTAAAGCCGCTGTGACACTGCTAATGCATCATACAAAAATACAGTCTTCAGACACTGTCTGTGGCATGTTTCTTTCTTGTATGGTGGTGCAGCCACATTGGCAAACATGCTTTGAAGTTCGAACATATTTCGGGATAATTTTGTCACCGTGACTGCAGCAAACAGCGTGTCTTTCGAATGATCTGTAGCGGCGTGAAAGCGCCTTAAGAAGAAATCCTCGGGCACCTGATGTATATGGATAGATATGAGCGACAAGCATTATATGGACTCGCTCACCGTAATAATTGGGGGAAAAAAATAACCGTTGCTAAAATCGAACGCTATGTCAACGACGCTCTTAATTCGAGCGATTTCTAGCCGAAAAATAAATATAGTTACGATATATCCCCTACCGCGTAAGTAAAAAAAAAGTACCTGCTCATGTAAACGAACAAAAACTGTGCCTAAAGGTGTATTCACACGACGGAAATATCCCCTGAGAAGTTTCTACGAAATTGGTGACGTCACCGTTTCTGCGGTTCAAAATTTGCCATGTTCCCGGAAAAAAACAACAAGAAAAAAACGCGCATAACTTACAAGCTAGGGGTTACGACAAAGCCATGCCGGCGTTAACAGTCTTCATGACACAGATGCTGTTGCTCCTGTTCAGGGCTTCACCAAGTACCTCGGACGGCGATGGGGCCTGCCCTTCGTCATGGTCGCGGGAGCGCTCGTTCAACACCGACTCAGCAGCGCAAGAGGAAGCTCCTGCTGCCTCACGCCTGACGTGGCCAACGTGGTGCCTCACCGACAGCCGCACGTTGGCGCACCGTGGAACGTTTTCGTTTCCGTCCGTCGGCTGCCTTCAAAAGCATCTTCCACCGCTGCAATCGCTGGGGCACGGTAAAGCCATGCCGGCGTTAACAGTCTTCATGACGCAGGTTAGTTACACGCGCTTTCTTTACCTTAACAATTTCTTCACGTTATTTTTTACTAAAGAAGACTTGCTAAACGTTCCCGACTCATGCCCATTATCTAACCCTCAGATAAATCCTATCATAATTGACCACGCAGGCGTATTGGAAGCAATAGAAAACCTAGTGCCACTAAATAAGCTACGCTTCAGAGTAACGACACTTGGCCATATTGTGGCTTAAAATCATGGTTGCCAGTTATCTGAGGCTTTATCTGAAATCACAGGAAATGCTTTTCAGCCCTCCACAAATGTTTAAACCGTTCGCGACAGAGCAAAGCAGTATTACATGACCTTCCTAACACCGAATCTAATGCTGAGAAAGTCGTACTTTTGAATCCTGACGATCGGCCGTTGCGTCTGTTCTGCATACGAGCCAAAATGGCGGCGCCCACAACAATGTCGGGGAACGGAGTGCCGATACTCTAAGCGCAGCTTATTTAGTGGCTCTAAGAAAACCTAAAGGTCTCCTCGAGCTCTGGAAACTATCTAATTAATTTGAAGGTATTAATGAACACTAAACACAATTCCTGTTTTCCTCTGTGACATATTCTCATAATCACTCACGCTTTCCATAGTTCCACGTGACTGGAAAATTCGGAACTTTCAGCGATGGTAGTGCCGCGGTGTGAGAATCGTGTTCCCTACCTCCTGGATGATTGGCCTCATAATAAATGGGCTTGCCAACACCTTCATGGCGTGAAAAAATAACGTAAGGCTCTAGTACTGCTCGTATATAGCAAAACTAAAATTACTTACGCGTAGCATACCCAGCCTCGTACCGCTGTTCTACGACGGTCATCCAGATGACAGCCATTTTGATTTACACAAGTACGCCCCCTATAGGTCGGGAAAGTTGCTAATAGTTAACGTAATACCCGTTCACGAGACTGGTGATCGCCAACTAATAAGTAACTACCGTCCCATCTCTCTCACCAGTGTTTCATCTAAGCTCATGGAGCATATACTTTACTCAAATATAATACACTTTCTTGACTCTCATAACCTTCTTTTTGAACATCAGCACGGATTTCGTAAATCTTACTCTTGTGAAACCCAGCTACTTCCTTATTGATATTTATTCAAGCTTCAATTCGAATATTCACACCGACGCCATTTTCAATGACTTCTCCAAAGCATTCGACAAAGTACCCCACCAACGTCTTTTAACAAAGCTTAACGACAATAATATTCATCCTTCTGTTGTTAAGTGGATTTCTAAATCCCTAATTAACCGTAAGCAATATTCCTCCGTTAACAACGTAAAATTTCCCACCTCTACCGTAACGTCAAGTGTCCCTCAGGGAACCGTATTTGGCCGCCTTCTGTTCCTAATCTATAATAATGATCTCCACCTTAATATCGCTTCTTCTGTTTCGTCTTGTCCGCCGACGATTGTGTCATTTACCGACTTATTCTTTTATACCATGGTCATCACACTCTCCAGGAAGACCTAGAGTCTGTAATCCATTGGTGTGAAAAATGGCAGGTGACGTTAAACTTCAATAAACGTAGATCCCTATCATTTTCCCCCATTTTTGTAATACCTCTCTAACACTCAAGTAATAGCATGCTCATATTATAAATACCTGGGTGTTCATCTCACCTCTGAAATATCATGGACTACTCACATAACTTCTGTTATTTCCGATACTAACCGTTCTCTCACATATTTGCACCTTAACCTCGAACTTGCTACCCTCCGTGAAACGACTAGCGCATACTACTCTTATAAGATCGAAGTTAGAATACGCCTCATCTATATGGTCCCCATAGCGGTCCTACCTTGCAAATAATCTAGAATCCGTCCAAAACGGAGCCCTTCGTTTTATTTATAACAACTACTCATCATATACCAGCATATCAGGATTACGCCAATCAGCTAACCTTCATTCACTTTCCCTTCGCCGCCGAGTATCACGCCTTTCTCTCCTCCATCGAATTTTTATCACAATAGCCACCTCAAAGAATCACTGTTATCACCTCCCCATCGTATTTTCCCACGTCTAGATCACCTATGTAAATTAGGTCAAATTCGATCGTCAACTGTTTCTCACCACACTTCCACACTACCATTGGCCATCGAGGATTGGAACTCACTACCTCATAACATCGTTTCTATTAATATTGCTAAATTTGTTGAAGCCATTACCCTCTCTTTATCTAACCTACCTAGCTAGCTCACTGTGTTATAATTGTGTTTACTGTTCTATTTGTTTTTGTTCTATTGCCACCCCCTTGTAATACCCCACGGGCCCTCAAGGAAAATAAATGATGAAATGATGATGATGATAAGAACGTGTCCGGGGACAAGTCCGCGGACCCGTGGAATTCTGTGCACCACGTGGGAAAACGTCATGAAATAGGGCCGCGTACCTGTCGCACCACGGCACCCAGGGTTACCGAGATATCAAACCCGTTATATTGTCGTTACTTTTCTGGTCCGGCGATGCCCGTGCCAGGTCCGCGGACTCAACTAACTTGGTAGAACACTGTACTTGGTAGGAATCAATGGAGCCCAACTGCCCGCGCGACAACTGGCTGCACGAGCCTTCTTTTTTCTTTTTCTTTCTTCTTTTTCTTTTCTACGATACACTTTCAGCGTTTATTCATATGGCTCTTGCTTTGCTGTGCTTTATGTAACGGTTGACACTACTGGCGACGTGCGCGATCGAAAGCGTCGCTGCGATCGTCCTTCCACGATTGGCCCAGTGCTGACTATGACGTCAGCAAAGGATTTTTCATCGACGGAAATAAGAGGAATGGAAGAAATTCAATTTTGGCGGTGTTGGTAGCGTTGGTTTCAAAGCGCAATGATTTCTTGGTTCCACCATGTTCGTTAGAAACACCATCGAACTTGTTGTTAGTGGGGTAAGGACTTCACGAGAGGGCACCAAAGGAGGGCGCCACCAAAACATCTCGCCGTTAATACTGCATCTCATGAGTTGCGTGCAGCAAAGGCAAAAGCACAGGCGCGAGGGCCTGGATTTCATATTTGCTTTCCTTTCACGAGCGCTCGCGAAAAGGAAGCACATCTGTAAGCCACGTGCCCGCGCCAATGCCTTTGCCTCTGCTGCACACAACTCCTGAGATAGAGTATAGTTGATACTTCATTCAACCAAATGTGTTTATATGCTCTTTTTTGTAATCACTGTTTTCGTCCCTGCAACATGTAAAGGCACTTTAACCATAGACGATGTTTTACCACCTTTTTATTGTAAAATACGGATATATAGTTCTTAGCATTTCAATATTTCAATAGAGGAACTGATTTCAACGAAAACAGCACCAATTCAAAATGTATTAAATACAGAAGGCAAAAGAAGCAATATCATAATACCTCTGTATGCAAGCCCATTGCCAGATGTTACCATGAGCGCCGATACCACAGCGTGAAATCGTGCGATATTTTTTGCTATCAAAAGAAGTAAAACGTGGAATATAGATTTTACATAGGGAAGAGGGTTAATGTCCTTAGATTTTTTTTTTCTATTTCGATTTATCAGAGGATACAATATATCGCGTTCTTAAAATAATCTTTATTTTGATTTAATTCAATTATAGATTAAACAGGCATATATAATTAGGATACATGTTCATCGTGCTCAATAATAAAATGCCGTGAAAGCTGATTGAGTTTGCAGATCGGTAATTTCTTTTCCTAGATTTGTTTATCGCTTGCTGAGCATTAGGATTTAGGCAAAATAGGATACATAGCAATTCATTATCGGAGGATAGGTGGCGTTCAATTAGTTCGACATTTGTATGTGACACCGAATAAAGCATATCGTTTAAATTTCAGATGTGGACCGCCACTATCCTTGCAAAATCACCAAACACATTTTCAAAAAACTTTGTCGCGAAGATTTCGGTAATTTTATTCAACGCATCTGTGGTTAATTTCCATCCCGGCGCTGAGTACTGTATTTGTCTCCATCTTCCTTTCTATTGTCGCGTTTTGGGCACTTCCCAGGCCACCCTGATCCACGCACGAGCCTGTTGCTGTGCACGGTGTGTGTGCTGTCGTGTCAGCGACAAGAAATCCCAACTCAGTTTCTCAGTTTAGCTGTAAAGCAAAAATAAATTCATGATTTAGTGCCGTGTTTCTTTACTGTAGCCCCTTCCCGTCAGTCATCCCACCAAACCAGCTGCTAAACGCGTTTCCCACTCGTCTTTGAGGTTTTGTATTCCCAGACACAACGTTTTATGTGCGGATTATTTTCCAACAACCGGGTGCAAAACATGGCTGACTATTACGAGCGTTAGCAGATTCACTTAAAAATGACCAAACCCGAGCGAACAAAATACTTCACATTTCACTTAAAAATGACCAAACCCGAGCGAACAAAATACCGAAATATGCAGAGCGTCGTCATGGCCAGGTTCAACGCCAGCGGTGCTGCGCAACGCTATAGCTATGCTAGCCATCGGTAGCTTTGTTTCGCACATGACTCAATGGTTTCCATCAAAAGACTACTGCCGAAAATCCCTGCATGCAACACTGCATGCGCGGGTTGCATTATGGGTCTTCTTTGACCAGGGAGAGGAGTTGCACGGTTTCGATTTCCAATGTTCCGCGTTGTCAAAGTAGAGCATCTCTGCACTACATGAAGATAAAGTCAGCACTCGCACGCATTGCACCCATTCGTCTTCGTAAGAGCCCCGTAGAAACACGGACCTCGAGCGTCCGTAGGGACCTGCCCTTAGCGAGAAGTAGGAGTAAACGCTGGTTCATACACTTGCGTGAGTATGACCGAGTGCGACTGCAACGGTTTGCGACGTTAATCTTTTTACGGATTACTATGGCAATGAAACGGTTGTAAGCAGTTTAAAACTACGTTGCCATAGCAACCCGTAAAAAGATTAACGTCGCAAGCCCTGTTTCTGCCTTGTAATAAGACTTGATCTTCTGCCTTGCAGAATCTCGGGTCTGGTCGTCGGCTTTTAAGGCCTGCCGTGTCTCTTACC